GGAAGGTGTGTGGGATTGTCGGTTTACTTACTCGGGATGGAAGGTGTGTGGGATTGTCGGTTTACTTACTCGGGAGGGAAGGTGTGTGGGATTGTCGGTTTACTTACTCGGGAGGGAAGGTGTGTGGTATTGTCGTTATACTTACTCGGGATTTTTCTCGGCTGCGTCTTTAGCAGCCTTTATTCTGGACTGTGGATTCCTCTCCCGCCACGCTCTCTGCATCACTACAACCGTCACAAATCGGTGTCTAAATCTCCGTGTAAGGACATAAATCTTCATACTTACTAGGTTTTCAAGTATCTGTATCTTCTAATGCATACCATTGAATCTGTTTAGATATTCATTATATTCGGTATCAACACAGTTCAATCCCTTTAACTTGTACTTAATCAAACAACCGTTTTAATGAAATGCGATTTTTAAAAAAACAAAACATTTTAAAACTAAACTGAATGTCAATTTTGCTTCGAACATTGGATTTATAACCAAAATTATATTTGCTCATTTTTTCTTTGCTGAACCTATTTTTTTGTTCTTTGTAAGTTCATTCTGGGTCGATTGAGCAACAAGGGTTAAGTGTCAAATTACAAAAAAAAAAAGATAAGAATTGTAGATTCCGAGATAAGGACAGTCCCCCCTACAGTCTATTTTAAGTAAGTGACCTTGAACATTTTTTTAACCCCTATTGCACATTTACATTTCACAGTGTATTATCATGTCAAATTTCAGACGGATTCTGAGATCATCTCCAGAAGCGAAAGTGTGGACAGACACTGTGATTAGTACAGGGCACCTACATCTCCAATGTGCAGCCCTAACGAGCTTACAGTCGCCTGACACTACCAACTACCCTGCTGCACCATCAGACACTGTCTCTTCTAAGCATCAAGATAAGAAATATTGACATAAACACAAGTGAACTGTGTTAACAATAATGAGGAACTGTCATCAGAAATTGGTCATCTTACCTTCGTATTCGGGTTTGCCAGCATCCGCCTCACAGGTAAAAAAGGTTTGATGATCCTGCGCCGACAGGTTCATGTCATAGTACGTGAGCGGGTCCTTACCCTTTGCCCACGTGTACCGCTGATACTCTGAACCACGGAACAGATTTAAGGGATTCCTCCACACCTTACACTCTGAAACAGGACATTCCCGGATACTGAACAAGCTCTGCCACAGTTTACATTCAGACACACGATCAACAGATTAATAATAATGATAAAATTGGCTAAATTATTTAATTCAATTTTTTTTTCTTCTTATATATATATATATATATATCAGTCTTGGATTTGAAATGACAAAGAATAATTGATATTTTTATTAGTTTTTGGAATATAAAATCTTGATTTGAAAATAAATCTCATAAGGCTGTCATAATAAAAGTATCTATAATCTATAATCTTTGATTATTTTAGCATAATTGCTGATAATGTTAAAACTGAAAATATGGTGTTGACATATATTTGTAGAATCAAACATGGGTCTGTTCTGTGCCAGCCAAACTCTTACACGAGGCTTGAGATATCCCTGTCTATGGAACAGACTCATGTTTGATTATTTTTCTCACATACATAAAAATAAAAAAAAACAGTTGAAATAAACATTGATCTTATTCTTCCGGCAAACCCCAAAGCCCTAGGGTTGAGACGGATGATTCCCCATCCACAACAATTGTATGACATCACGGAAACAATACATTGACGTCACGTCGACAATCCATTATTATGACGTCATAGCGTGTGTCAGCGGTCTTTCCCTACCCCGTGTAAGATAGAGTTATCTTTTCCCTAGCAACAACGGGATCACCCTGTGAAGTATGTGAGAATATAAAGTTCTATGTATGTTATACAAAGGAACAACTACGTTCTCACCACATAAATACTGTACCCAGGAAATATGTACACATGGCACAGAACACACCGATTTGTACTCCAGTTAGTACAATTATTAAACATATTAACTCATTCACCCCTGAAATTTCATGATGAACTATTCCAACCTTTGAATTAGAAGAGTTCAAATGTGTCTTCAGGAGTGAATGAGTTGAGTAAGTTTAACCACAGTCATTGTAAACCCCTGAGTAGAGTTTCTATCTGAGAGGGTCATTGTGAGTATTCATGGATAGCGAATATTATTTCTATTTAAAAAGACTTAGTTAATAATTTAAGTCAAAATTATTTAGCTTTATTACTACTGAACTAACGAAGTCAAAGCGTTATGCCAAACAACAAAAATGTAATTTTGATTTTTTTTTTCAAATTTGATAAAAAAATAATTAAGACCCAATTTCAAGGACCATACCTGAATCTTGGCACCTAGAACACCTTACTTTAATTACAGAAAACTGTCACTCACACTGTTCCATTTCACAGCTTTGTCTATTTCACTACATTGGTCTATGCTAGGCTGGAATCAAATAAATCCTTTATTCCAAGATCTGATTTCAAGTGATTTGACTTGTTTCAGGAATAATGGTCCGGAGCTATAATCTGATGCGGTGATGCGGGTTGGTGAGACAGACGTAATGGTGAAGAACAAATGTGACTGTCATCCTATATCTGCCCTACCCAGGTGGAATAATAATGTTGTCTGATTGTGACAGTCTAATGACTTGATGTGGCATAATGGAGCGGCATTATGGAGATGATTTAGCGCTACAACACATCAGCGTCATTAGTCATACAATCTCTGTCTACCTCCTCGAAGTCACTCCAGGGCCAACCTCAGGCCTTTATACTCTGTCCCCCAGGAAACTGATTACAAATCCCTCCATGCCCAGCCTCAGGCCTTTATACTCTGTCCCCAGGAAACTCATTGCAAGTCCCCCCAGGGCCAGCCTCAGGCCTTTATATCCTGTCCCCAGGAAACTTATTACAAGCCCCTCCAGGACCAGCCTCAGGCCTTTATACTCTGTCCCCAGGAAACTCATTGCAAGTCCCCCCAGGGCCAGCCTCAGGCCTTTATACTCTGTCCCCCAGGAAACTGATTACAAATCCCTCCAGGGCCAGCCTCAGGCCTTTATATCCTGTCCCCAGGAAACTTATTACAAGTCCCTCCTGGGCCAGCCTCAGGCCTTTATACTCTGTCCCCCAGGAAACTGATTACAAATCCCTCCAGGGCCAGCCTCAGGCCTTTATATCCTGTCCCCAGGAAACTTATTACAAGTCCCTCCTGGGCCAGCCTCAGGCCTTTATACTCTGTCCCCAGGAAACTTATTGCAAGTCCCTCCAGGGCCAGCCTCAGGCCTTTATACTCTGTCCCCAAGAAACTTATTACAAGTCCCTCCTGGGCCAGCCTCAGGCCTTTATACCCTGTCCCCAAGAAACTTATTACAAGTCCCTCCTGGGCCAGCCTCAGGCCTTTATACTCTGTCCCCAAGAAACTTATTACAAGTCCCTCCTGGGCCAGCCTCGGGACTTCATACCATGGCTCTAGGAAAGTGATTAGAAATTCCCCCAGGCCAGCCTCAGGTTTTTATACATATATACCATATGTCCCCAGGAAAACAGATTTACCTATCAGCATAGACATTTATGACACCTCTTTCTTTAGAGATGATTTAAATGTAATGAAGATGATTTATGCTATGACATCAGATTTACATTTTGCAGCAGAAAATATAACATGGAACACCAATCAATAGTTTCTTACCATTAAATGAGAACTGCGTGCATGCACTGATTTTTTCCCCCCTGTTTTCAAATCTAGCAGAGTTAAGGAAACAATGGAGAAACCTGACTTACCAGGTACCGTCTGTTGGTGTGTGGTGTTGTACTTACCAGGTACTGTCTGTTGGTGTGTGTTGTTGTAATTACCAGGTACTGTCTGTTGGTGTGTGGTCTTGTACTTACCAGGTACTGTCTGTTGGTGTGTGGTGTTGTTCCCGGTGTTATTGATGTTGTTTGTGTTGTTGTTGTCGTTATTGGCTCCCTCCGTGCCACCGCCCAGCAGTGGAGATATATGATTTAACGACACCTGCTCTATAAAGGACGTCCCATACTTCTTAAAGTACCACCACTCAAATATCTGCGGAAAAAATGAATCTTAATTCTAAAAGACATATTTTTACTTTCTGAAAACTAGAAAATTGATATGCATGCCCAGTACAACTAGTCAAATAACAAAATTTAATACAAAAAATAGGACAGTGTAATCAAGTTTCATTCTGACCCTTGATATCCGTTCCTTTTGGAAACAGTTTACCATTTCTTATATTTCAACTAATTCGAGCTTGTGACCGAAGGGTTGTGGGTTCGAGTCACATCACGGCACAGTGTTGTATCTTTGAGCAAGATACTTTACTCTGCTTGTTCCAGTCTACTCAGCTGTAAATGAATACGTGGTTGGGCAGTGCTAGAATTGTTGAATGATAGCTGTGAGCGCCGATAAAGCGGTATATAAGCACCTCAAATTACTATTATTGTTATTAACTACACATTTCACTTTCACATAAATTTGCATTCAGTATTGATTGCCAATTCAAATTCCTGACCTTATTATCCTGCAATAAGTCCAGGGGACCAACACATAGAATGTAGGGGTGGGGTTACAGCACATTGATATAGCATTTGTTGGCATTTGTACTGCAGTGCAATATACATATGGGTGGGCTTATTACCAGGCATGGGCTTATTGTCCAAATACATAGAGTATGTATACACACAAAATTGAATAATTTACAGAATGCATGTTATATGTGTTTCCTCACTGATTGACCAGAAACTGAGTAATTAACAGAAAATTATTGGTTAATTAATGCTGGAAATAGTTATATTAGTTTAATATATATTTGTCATGGCCTTTTAATGGACTCTGACTGCATAAAAATGTACCGCTGAAATGCTTTGTCACATCATATAGTCACTGGGGTTGCTGTGATGTCATAATTCATCAGAGTTTTGTGCGATCAGAAGTTGGAATTACTTAACAAATGGTTTGGCTTTTTCAGACATAATTGAAAATATTACGGAAGGAAATGAAAAGGTCCCCTAAATCAACCTGATTAACCAGCAAGCGAAATTCAACACAGCAGTATAATGGATGATTACAAATGACACATATATATCTAACCACCATAAATGCTAACTGTCATCGTCACTTTCCACTTATCTGTCAATGACTGTGAATTTGAGATTGGCCAATCAGATGAAACAGTATTTGGTTGCTGTTGATTTTGACAGTTAAAATAAAGGAAATGAGTGACTTAACTTGTTGATCATGAAATACTAAATACAGTGTATTGTAAAGCACTTCAATTCATAATTTTACTCATGAAAGTAAGTCATGGGATTTAAGGGGTAATAGTCAATAGTCCTAAATATGTCTTTATCAAAACAGCATCACATTTATGGATTATGGAGAGCATATTTTGCACATGTTTTTTTCCCAGAGCCCGCAGGGATGTACCAAGACAATTAGCCATCAGAAACTTGTATGTCTACATCAGAATACTGTGGAGCCAGGATAACTACATTGTAAATGAAAATGGGTGAAAATGAGTGTAAGCTATTAACAATGACATATCATAGCTACGGACGGACACCCTAAAACTATATGCCCACCATCTAGGTGTTGGATTCTACGTACAGAATGACAATATGTTCTGGAGAGTTTACTCACATCCCTGCATAAAAGTGAGAGAAGTGTGGAGCAGTACAAAGTACTGGCACCAGTATTGATCAGATTTACAGCCATTTTAGACGGCAATGATGAGGTGAGAATATGTGGATCTAGATCAAGATCACAATCAAATTGATGGAAAATTTCCCTGTGAAAACTGATGGCAGCCGGTTCCGTTTGTAGAAGTTCTCCTGTGTATTGAGCCTACAGCCATTATTTTTGTGTTTAGGATAGCACTAAGCTATTAGTAAGTTGTTTTTGTATTTCATGGTAAACAAATTACAAAAAAGAAACTGTGTAGGTATATACACATTGATATTACAGATGTTTTCTACGTTAGAGTTCACACAAAAACATGTACACTGTAGATAAAGAAAAACAAGCCATCCTCTACTACTGATGAATTAGAACTTGAGTATTCCTCGATATATACAGCCTCTCTAAATGTGTAATGTTCAAAATAAAACACTGCCTTAAAGGGGCTACTTAGTCAAATGACAACCTGAAAATAGAGTCCATACTCAAAATATATATCTCCTAACAAAAGTCTACGTAGTTGATAATGACATGACCTGAAGCTAACTTCCAGTGTGGTCAGTTTCATCTTTTGGGAAAGCCGTGATAATAATAGCTATGCCCAAAATAGCGCAATATCCGGGCCTTTCAGTGAGAAGTAAAATGTACAGCACTACGCCGTCGACCGACATCAGTGTCAGTTACTGCTTACAAGTCTGAGTTTACACTGTATATTGCAAGTAAGAATTATAAGCTTCATAATATATATATACCTCTAATCTAAGATATTTTTGTTCACATTTGGATTTGAATAAAAATCGAACAGGTTCAATTAGAGCATGCACGCACCGAGAGGATACCGCAGGGAGAATTTCAAACTGCAGAAAGTACATTATCAATAGGTTTAAACGTAAAATAGATTACTTATTTATAACGATGTTTGAGATCCTGTTGGAAGATGATTTTGATTCAGAATAAATGCATGTACTTGTATTCTAGAGAGGCTAGGTGAATAAAGCGAGAAGTTACCTTCTCTCCTCAGCTGGAAAGACATATTTTTGTTAGCTACAAATTCACTGACAGCTGCCGCTAAAACATACGGCTGTATACTTAAGGATTTCTCAATTACAGCTTAAAAGCAAGAAAACATTGTCTCTTGCCAATTTCTCAACATGAATTGTTCATAATTATATAAGGAGTATTAAACTATATCATCATGAAGAATTTTGTGGCAAAGTTAAAAAAACAAACTTACTTCACTAAATTGTCCCTTTCTTATACTTATTCTGTAAATGTGAAATTTGTTATGCCATTGGCCCGTTCGCTTTTCTTAATTGACATCCAATTCAATATGGCAGCTGATTTCATAATGACATTGGGTATCTTTCAGAAATAGCCCAACCCCACTTTTCCCTCATTTTAGTGCAATGTCTCACTGAAATTATCCTTGGTTAAATAGGGTATAGAGAATACAGCCATTTAAGGTAGTATATATATACTACCTTAGAGTCAGAAGGAGTCTACTTCTTCTGTTAATATTGAAATATCTATCCAGTTTTATTATATAACTTATCAGTCAGGACTGAATATTTGAATGGCTTGTGTAAGTTTCAATATTACTTATCAGTTAGGACTGAATTTTTGAAAACTTTACATTTATAATTGTAATTGACTTATCAGTCTAGACTGAGTAACATTTATAATTGTAATTGACTACTAGTCTAGACTGAGTAACATTTATAATTGTAATTGACTCATCAGTCTACACTGAATAACATTTTTAATTGTAATTGACTTATCAGCCTAGATTGAGTAACATTTATAATTGTAATTCACTTATAATTATCAGTCTACACTGAATATCATTTATAATTGTAATTGACTTAACAGTCTAGATTGAGTAACATTTATAATTGTAATTGAATTATCAGTCTAGACTGAGTAACATTTTTAATTGTAATTGACTTATCACTCTACATTGAATAACATTTATAATTGAAATTGACTTATCAGTCTAGATTGAGTAACATTTATAATTGTAATTGAATTATCAGTCTAGACTGAGTAACATTTTTAATTGTAATTGACTTATCACTCTACATGGAATAACATTTATAATTGTAACTGACTTATCAGTCTAGACTGAGTAACATTTTTAATTGTAATTGACTTATCAGCCTAGATTGAGTAACATTTATAATTGTAATTCACTTATAATTATCAGTCTACACTGAATATCATTTATAATTGTAATTGAATTATCAGTCTAGACTGAGTAACATTTTTAATTGTAATTGACTTATCAGCCTAGATTGAGTAACATTTATAATTGTAATTGGCTTATCAGTCTACACTGAGTAACATTTATAATTGTAATTCACTTATAATTATCAGTCTACACTGAATATCATTTATAATTGTAATTGACTCATCAGTCTACACTGAATAACATTTTTAATTGTAATTGACTTATCTGTCTACACTGAGTAACATTTATAATTGTAATTGAATTATCAGTCTAGACTGAGTAACATTTTTAATTGTAATTGACTTATCACTCTACATGGAATAACATTTATAATTGTAACTGACTTATCAGTCTAGACTGAGTAACATTTTTAATTGTAATTGACTTATCAGCCTAGATTGAGTAACATTTATAATTGTAATTGGCTTATCAGTCTACACTGAGTAACATTTATAATTATAATTGACTTATCAGTCTACACTGATTAACATTTATAATTGTAATTGTCTTATCAGTCTACACTGAATAACATTTATAATTGTAACTGACTTATCAGTCTTGACTGATTAAAATTTATAATTGTAATTGACTAATCAGTCTACACTGAATAACATTTATAATTGTAATTGACTTATCAGTCTAGACTGAATATCTGACCAGACTGTGTAAGTATAGGTACCAAGAAGAACATTCTTGTGTTCTAATCAATATTCATGTATCAAACAAACCTCGCCAGACTGGCTGACCTAATTAATACATCGTGTGTGTAAACCCTATATCAAAGACAGACAGGGGTCTTATACAGAATACAGCATGTTGTAACACCATTATCTAGGACTGAACAGAATACAGCATGTTGTAACACTCTTATCTAGGACTGAACAGAATACAGCATGTTGTAACACTCTTATCTAGGACTGAACAGAATACAGCATGTTGTAACACCATTAGTTAGGACTGTACAGGGTCTAAGACATGTTGTACACCATTATCTAGGATTGAACAGAATACAACATGTTGTAACACTCTTATCTAGGACTGAACAGAATACAGCATGTTGCAACACCATTAGCTAGGACTGTACAGGGTCTAAGACATGTTGTAACATCATTAGCTAGGAGTGTACAGGGTCTAAGACATGTTGTAACACCATTAGCTAGGACTATACAGGGTCTAAGACATGTTGTAACACCATTATCTAGGAGTGTACACGGTCTAAGACATGTTGTAACACCATTAGCTAGGACTATACAGGGTCTAAGACATGTTGTAACACCATTAGCTAGGATTATAAGGGTCTAAGACATGTTGTAACACCATTAGCTAGGACTATACAGGGTCTAAGACATGTTGTAACACCATTAGCTAGGACTATAAGGGTCTAAGACATGTTGTAACACCATTAGCTAGGACTGTACAGAATACACCATCATCTATGTGTGTAAAGGATCGAAGATAAACTTTCTTACACAAGTCATTGAACGTCGTACATGATACAACATCATGACCAAAGACAGACAAGTGTCTTAGACAAAATTATAATCATGATCTAAAACTGTCAACAACCTTAAACAATCATCCAACACGTCACAACATCATAATCTAAGACAGAGGAGAATCTCGACGAAATTATAATATCATGATCAAAGACTGTCAACAACCTTAGGAGAAACATCCAGTTCATTTTATAGTATCAGGATCAAAGAAATGTTTTCCCGTTCACTGCCGAAAAATGAAGATAAAACATAATTCACTACCATATTTTACTTTACTTTCAAAACCCTTGTAAAGTAGATCCTGTTACCCAAATACGAGAGTGCCCTCATGAGTGCGATTTTTAAACTGAGCTACGTTGTGCGAAATAAAATTCCAGCGAACTAGTTCCTATTAGGATTAGCCACGCCATATTAAACATTGCAAATGTACAGTATTGATTATTAAACAAAATACCAGTTACTTACCAATATCAGTCCAGATATCAATGAGGAAGTTCCTGTGAGAGCCACGTAAAATTTGGGTGTCAGTGTGTTCAGGAACATCGTAGCTGGAAAGAGAAAATAACAAATTGATCACCTTATAATAGGAATCACAAAATAATCATCTTATAATAGGAATCACAAAATATTCACCTGATAATAGGAATCACAAAATATTCACGCGATAATAGGAATCACAAAATGATCGCCTTATAATAGGAATCACAAACCCATTGTTTATACAACTTGTGGAGACTGTTTCATAAAGAGTTGCTTCTGGTCATCAATACGTACACAGGATGTATGATAAATGTTGAAATATGATTTCGTTTATGACAGTCTACGTACACATACTGTATACACAGATGTATATGTATATGATTGTTTGTCCCAAACATTAGCAATCGGTCGCCTAGCTAGTTGATACTAACACATATCATACAATAATCGCAGGGCATCACATTCATACAATGTGATAGGTAGAAATGTGACAAATAGAAGCAATATGTCAACTGATCCTTACATAACTGCCAATAACATGTGGGGTAAACTCAAACAGCGAAATCGACATCAAATCCTGTTTCAACACATAAAACAGTGAAGTAACAGCACGTTGCATATGAACATTTGAAACACCATTTCTATTTTAAAAAGTGTGAATTTCGTGACAAATGTTTATCACAAAAAGAGGGGTTTTCATGACAGATGTGTTAATATCACAAAGAGTGGCATTTTGGTGACAATTATATATTGATTACAACACGACTTGCTAGTCTTATGTTTCACAAACTATCGTCCACATATTTATCCACTGTAGACAGTAACAATGCCGAAAACGTAGACATTTGAGCCATTCTACCAGAAAGGAGATCTTTAAAGACTCAATCAATATACAGGACATATTACACTCTGGTAGCACCAGCAGACAGCTAGAAATATGACCAAATATAATATCATGTCTCAACAGATAAGCAAATAACACTGTGAAAGTCTAAACCACTCACGGCAAAACACAATTAGTATAAAAACAAAAACAGTTTTTTGTTACTACATTTTTGTATATGGCCTTGACCTGGCCAATAAAAAAAACACCAAAAAGCTTAAATAACACTGATAAATAATGATTAAAAACATGAAATATTGTCGTCGCGTATAATTGCAGTAGAATTCTGTTTGTTTTAATCTAATCACAAATTATTAATTTCAGTAATTATCAAAATCTATACCTTTCATCTACAACGTATGTTGTACACGGCTTATTCCCTTTGGAGATAAAACCATTGATCACAGTTTGATTACCAAGTGAAACTCTGATGTGAGTAACTATCACCTGGCATGTTTATATACCTGGTATCCTTTGTTACAGGGCTACAGTGACTGCCACAGTGAAAGTATAACCCTCGTAAAATATAACTGTTGTACATCGCAATCACAGTTTTTGTATATTCTAACACACACACACACATACCGGCTCTTTTCATCTAAAATGCTGGCTATTAACAATGAAAATAATGCAAGGATTTAGAATTCTAAAGCATCCTTTAATCTTTAAATACAAGCTGTTTCCGTCTGCTCTCAAATGGTGAATACATTTTGAACTTTCTTTATTGGAGAACTTCTACAATTTTTTATTCAATCAACAATATAAAGAAGAAGATTTTAACAAATTGTCATCAGTAAGTTAAATGTCTAATTGAAGCTGCTAGAGAAAGTGGTAATATTAGCATGGACAGTATCAATACTATACAGACCTGTGCCCAATTTGATAAGACTTCATCAAGAAAAACAGTATCACCCTTTTTATGATTTGTATAGAACCAACAGCATATAATGTCTCACATCTATCTATAATAACACTCAAAGGAAAAGCAAAATGGTTGGTGTTCGAAGCAGGGTCGCCATAGTTTTAAAAGTGCCACTGCTTGTTGGATTTCAAACATCATCTCAACCAGGAAATTCCTAGAAAATCCTTAATTACGGCAGTATCTGTCATTCAAAAACATTTTCTAACGTAACGAGGAACGAAACGGAAATGAGCGAGGATTTGCAGCCATGTGTCCCTGTGAATCGTAGTACTACTGTACTGAATGTTATGCATGATGCTATTGATTTATGTAGCAAGCTATAGGGATTGTGATAATGGACACGCACAATCCATATATCATACTTACTATCCCACATTGCAGCGCTATCCAATGACGAAACACATGTGAATATAATCCTATCCTCAACACAAGAACGTTTCAGATATTTTTCAATGAATCAAGACGATTTATAAGATACTGCATACGTGTTCTTTCATTTAAGTCTGGTGAGTGCTTAGTGAGCAGACATCGCTCCACATCAACGACGGCTAGCAAGAACAGAGAAGGACAGTCAAAGCAGCTACCATATGACAGACTAGGACTATCTAGCCTGAGTGGGTATACACCAGCACTGTGGTAGCATCACCAGCCGTAGTGAAGGCCAAGAGACACTGACAATCACTGCCGAGCTACCCTCCTCTACTGTCACTGACAATCACTGCTGGGCTACCCTCCTCTACTGTCACTGACAATCACTGCTAAGTTACCTTCATGTACTGTCACTGACAATCACTGCCGAGCTACCCTCATCTACCGTCACTGACAATCACTGTCGAGCTACCCTCCTCTACCGTCACTGACAATCACTGCCGAGCTACCCTCATCTACTGTCACTGACAATCACTGTCGAGCTACCCTCCTCTACCATCACTGACAATCACTGCAGAGCTACCCTCATCTACTGTCACTGACAATCACTGCCGAGCTACCCTCCTTTAATATCACTGACAATCACTGCCGATCTACCCTCCTCTACCGTCACTGACAATCACTGCCGAACTACCCTCCTCTACCGTCACTGACATTCACTGCCGAGCTACCTCATCTACTGTCACTGACAATCACTGCCGAGCTAACCTTCATCTACTTTCACTGACAATCACTGCCTAGCTACCCTCCTCTACTGCCACTGACAATCACTTCCGAGCTACCCTCCTCTACTGTCACCGTCAATCACTGCCGAGCTACCCTCGATCTACTGTCACTGACAATCACTTCTGAACTACCCGCCTCTACCGTCACTGCCGAGCTACCCTCCTCTACCGTCACTGACAATCACTGAAATATCTGAACATATCCTTGTTGTTGGTGTAGTCCATAATTATCTAAGCATATATCTCCCATCTAATAAAACAGGTATTTTTTGTGGAAAATACAAACGAAATATGATTTCAGTATTAGGATGTACACACTGATTTTGGGATTACATGCTGGCTTTGGGAAAATACTAATGAAATATTCTCTTATTGGAAAATGGTAATACATCAGTAAATATACCCGCACACCCTCACCACCAACCTGGAACTCTCCTAGAAAAAAACATCACTCTTTGAGATGATCACCTACTGTAATTGACTATAAGTTAACACAGATAAGTCCCTAAACTTCATTTATATAATTTACCTCATTTTTTCTCTCTCACCTAAGTGGAAGGTGTTTTTTTTTACGTCAAATACAGTAGCACTGACATTATCTTGAGCACTATGAATGCCATGCCAGAGAGAAGATATTTCCTGAGTTTCTATTTGACTGTGTGAAGTATGTATGGCACCATTTAAGATTGATTGCTTCCTTCTATCCTGGCATCATACATACCTCAATATTTTGAAAAATTGAAACTACGAAAATAGATTTTTTTTCGATACATGTATTTGAGACATATCCAGAATCTGAAATTACAATATGGATTTTGAGAACAAGATATTAGGGAATTGGAAGAGGGTGTAAGGAGAATGGAGCGAGACCAAAATCTGTCTGATTCTGAATGCTAGGTTTTGGAAGTGAACTTTCAATTAATGTGTAATATTTGGGTCGTATATAACATATTCCCAAAGTCTACTTCCTACTGAAGCCATTTCAAAATGAGGGAAAAATCAATTTTACACCCGAGAATTAGAAAGCATGTTTTCACGATTTTAGTTATTCGTGTAAATCATTGGCATGCCATTTAAAAAACTGTAAAAGCATGCCGAACCTTCAATCAAGCCAAGATAATTATCAGCAGCAGGAGGAGGAGGAGCTGCAGGACAGCTGTGTTTAACGAATCGTAGAAATGACACAAAGACTCTGTACACGCTCAAGAAACGTTGGTAGAAAATCCAATTACGGAAAATCAGCGAAAAACAAAATTCCTTTAAATGGAAAATATAATTAAGATTTTTTCTTTTAGATTAACAATTACTGTAAAGCTATTATCTGAATTGACAGAGGGGGAGAGAAGAAAAAAAGTAAGTCTAAGTTTGCATGATTTTTTATGACAGTATATTTTCACTAAAGTTACATGATGATAAAAAAAAAAAAAAAAATGTATTCAATTTAGACTTCAACATTTTAAACTTGTCTTTTACTTCAGGATATTTATTCAGCAAGTTCAAATTCATTGCACTAAAAAACCCAGCTATAAATAAACACAATATTCTAGGATGGTATCCAATGGAATGACAGCACCGATAGTGGTATTGTCTGATGTACCTAGTACTGGGTCTGCTTATTGGTTGAAATAATATACAGAAAGTTGAAATATATCTGTTATGATAGACAGTTATCTGTACAGTTGGTTTGACTACGTTGTCTGTTTATGGAGATAAGAGAGTTTTAAAGCCTGGAATAGGTAAAGACTGTTAACTTGTCTTACACTGCACGATGATCACAAACCTTCTCCTTTCAATATTCAAACACAGCAGTGCCTCTGATTCCCATATTCAATCAATTCTGCTAGTGTGAGAGATGGAGCCAGGCAACATTGCTACAAATGAAATCAATACCCAAATCTTCACACATACAGTAGGTCTGCCAGTAACCTATTCCTTATCTTAGACCATAGCCATCCTCACTAATGGTTCAGTCACATTCTCATATAACAGTTCAAACTATCTAATCCTCACATAATGGTTCAAACTATCCAATCCTCACATAATGGTTCAAACTATCCAATCCTCACATAATGGTTCAAACTATCTAATCCTCACATAATGGTTCAAACT